GGGCCGCCGCCGCCATCGCCGCTGCCGCCTCCGCCGCCGCGGACGGCGGGGAGGGCGCTCGCGCCGCCGGCCGCGGCGGCGAAGGCGGCAGAGGCGAGGGCGGCGAGGGCGGCGAGGGCGGCGGTTTGGGGGCCGGCGCCGGCGGCGTCGCCGAGGGGGGGAGTGAGAGTGAGAGGCGGCTGGCGGCGCTGCGACAGGAGCTCGTGCTCAGCACCGAGGCGTCGCATTTCACGCCGCTCGGCGCCTCCCGTCTGCCGCCGCGCCGGCCGAGCCGAGATCCGCCAAGGTCAGCCGAGGCCCCCGAGTTGTAGGCGCCGCCGTGTACCGCGTGCCAGCCGACCCGAGCGGCGTGCTCGCCGCGCTGCGGCTGCCGAGCACGCGCGTGGGCGAGGGTTCGCAGTGCGGCTGGCCGCCGCTGCACTTGGCGCTGCTGCGTGGCGAGTCGCACTTGCCGGCGCTGCAGCTGCTGCCCGCCGTTTATGGGGAGACGCTGCTAACACGGCGCCGCTCTGTTAGCAGGTGGTGCAGCTGCTGCTCGCTTCGCGCTGCGACGTCGTTAGCGGCCCTCCGCGCGTGCGGCACGTGACGCCGCTGCTGCTCTGCGCCGCCGCGCAGGCTCAGCCCCCCCCCCCCTCCGCCCACCCCACACCGACGCATCGCTTGCCCCGCCGCCCCTCCCCCTCCCACACTCCCCGCTCCTACGACGCGCCACGGCCTCTCGCCCTCGCCCTGTTGACGCGCTGCTGCCACGCAACCGCAGGCCGAGACGGCCGCCTCAATGCTGCTCGGCTGCATGCAGCCGCCGCAGCTGGTGGCCGCATCGTGCGCCCGCTCGCAGGAGCGGGATGCTGCCTGCTCTCCTCGCCGCTCCTCGGCCGCACCTCGGCCGCACCTCGGCCACTTCGGCCGCACCTCGGCCGCACCTCGGCCGCACCTCGGCCGCACCTCGGCCGCACCTCGGCCACTTCGGCCGCACCTCGGCCGCACCTCGGCCGCTTCGGCCGCACCTCGGCCGCACCTCGGCCGCACTTCGGCCGCACCTCGGCCGCACCTCGGCCGCACCTCGGCCGCACCTCGGCTGCACCTCCGCCGCACCTCCGCCGCACCTCCGCCGCACCTCGGCCGCACCTCGGCCGCACCTCGGCCATGCCTCGGCCGCAGGAAGGGCTGCCCGTCCTCTCCGTCGTGGCGCAGTGGTCGTCCGACGCGGCCGCCGGCCGCATCTGCCGCAAGCTGCTCGACTGCCGCGCCGATCCGTGCGCGCGTGCGCGTGACGGCTCGATGCCGCACGCCGCGGCCGCCGTTGCCCGCAACAGCGCGACGGCGGCCCTGCTGATGGCGGCGGCGCAGCAGCGCGCCAAGGAGGCGCTGGTGGCGTCGCCTTGGTCACAGCGGCTCGACAGTGATGCGGCGGTCTTCAGCGAGCCGCAGCCGTACCGCGGGCGCGCCACGCGCCGCGGAGGCGGCGGCAAGAACCGCGCCGCCAAGGAGGCGGCAGCGGCGGCGGCGGCCGAGGAGGCGGCGGCAGTGGCGGCGGTGGGGAGAGGCGAGTGCACGACCGGGTCGACGGCGACAGTGGCGACGTCGCCGCCGCTCTCGACCTCCACCTCGTCGGTCGGGTTCGGCTCGGCCTCTTCACTGCCCGCTAAGAGCGACGACGCCGTGCCGCCGCCAGCGGCGCTGGCAGGGCTGGAGCAGGTGGCCGGTCTCACGGCACTGGTGGACCGGCTGCCCGAGGCGGCGCAGCAAAAGGTCCGCACACGGGAAGGGGTGGGGTGGGAGAGGGCGCTAGCGTGAAAAGCGATTGCCTGAGAGCGCGAGTCGGCCCCGCCCTACAGGCGCTGGCGTGGTGCTCGGAGAACGAGGTGCATGAGGTGGGCCTCATCGCCGCCGCCGGTATCGCGGACGCTTTCGTCGCCGCGCTGGGCATCAAGCCCACAGGCGTGCCCGCGCTGCTCTTGCGGCAGCGGCTGAAGAGAGACTAGGAACGATCTGCGGCCGATGAGGCTGGCGGCCAAGCAGGGACAGCCACAGGAGGTCTCGCGGTTGAGGCGCGCCGGCGTTGGGCGGCGCGCCGCCGGACGGAGAGCCGCCCCGGCTCAGTCTGCCGAGTGCCGTGTTCCGCGATATAGGTCGTATTGTGAAGTGAGTCCCAAAAAAGACACGGCAACGTGTAGACGAACTTCGCGACATGAAGTTGGAGATGGAGGGCACCAAGTTTACTTGAGAGTTTTTATTTGTTGCACATCTTGTGCATGGACCAACCCATGGACACCGGTAAGGGTTCTTTCTGCGCGGGTTCGGTCTCGGTGGAGCCCTACTCTAGACGACTTTTGCGCTATCTCCCCGTATCTCCCTCGATCTCCGCGTATTCCCCTCTCTCTCCCCGTATCTCCGCCGCATTTGCCCGTATCTGCCGCCCGTATCTGCCCGCATCTGCCCGTATCTGCCCGTTATCTCGACCCGTATCCCCCGGTATCTGAAGTATCTGCCCGTATCTCGTATCTCCCGGTATCTCCCGGTATCTCCCAGTATCCCGCAGTATCCCGCAGTATCCCACGGTATCCAATATTATCCCGCGGTATCCCGCCATATCTCCGCCGCGGATACCGTGAAAAAATCGTCCAGACCCCAGGGATCGGTGGGGTCCCCGAGAGCGGCGTGGGAGTACCTCGCCAGCACGAACCATGGGCCTCGTCTAGCGAGACTGAACTCCCTAGCTAGTGGCACCCGCGTCACCCGGCACGGGACTGGCGCCATATAAAGTGAATAAATAAAACGGACATCCCAAAGCTAGGGCTGCGGGGTGCAAAAGCAATCCCTCTTTTACTTTTTGCTAGTTCCTCTTTCTTTCACTTTCTTCTATCTTCAGAGGAGAGAGATTTTTGAAAACTGCGCGCCAGTCCCGTGCCCAGTGCTCCAAGTGCTCCAGTGTCGTGAAAAAGAAAGAAAGAAAAGATAAACCCACAGGAGGTCCAAGTGCTCCAAGGAGGGATGAGAGGACGGCACACCGCCACCACACAGTGTCGTGCGAAGACGTAATTTTTTTTCTGCGAGAGTCTTGGGTCTGACTTTTTTCCTCGTGAAAAAAGAAAGTCACGATGTCGATCAGGGTTCAGGGACACACAGCGACACAGGGGAACGGAAGCGGGGAGCGCATCGCGACACGGAGGGGGGCTGGGAAGGACCCACGACAGGGTCCCAAGGAGTCCTCTCTTCTTCGTGCGAGGAAGTCCGGGGAAAATTCGTTTGCCTGTGATCGTGCTTGCTAGCACGCGCCAGCCAGTCCGCACCTTCCTGCCTGTGTGTCGAGCCTGTCTAAAGAAAGAAAGAAAACAGACAGCCCAAGGAAGGGATGGGAGGACGGCACGCCGCCACCAATGCGCATTACAGTTCAGCGCCGCCTCGGCCTCCCGCTCGATGTTGCCTGCCAGGCGGTGGAGGCGGGCAAGAAGGCGCCAAACGGCAAGCTGCACGAAGAACTCGGCGATGCCGCAATGGTCAACCCGCGTGCGAAGCACGCGACACGACACAAATACCTGCTCAAACGACTCGTCAAGACCCTTCGCTCGGCGTGGGGCATGCTCATCGAGATGGAGCCGACTGCACACCTCAGTTACAGTAACCCAAAACAACCTGACGTGGCGGCGGCGAACATCGGCAAAGGGCATGTGCGCCTCGTTGGCGACTTGAAACTTACGAGCTCGCTTGCGTGCAAGGGTGGCGATCGGCTCGGCTGGAAGGGGGCTTTTGTCGCCTTCGGCAACACCGAGCGGGAGCTGCTCGACTTAGTGATAGGGCATGCTGCATGGCCGCAGCCCGGAGGGGGGGGGGGGGGAGGGGGGGGGGAGGGAGGCGGAGGATGCAAAGGCGGAGGCGGCGGCGGCGGCGGAAGAGGAGGAGGAGAGTGAGGGGGAGGCGGAGGCGGGGGCACCTGTGACGGCCCCCTACAAGAAGGGCGACTACCAGTTCGCGCGGGAGAAGAATTGCGACCTGCGTTTGCTCGACTTCGAGACGTTCGGCGGCTTCGGGGACGGCGTCCGCAAAATTCTTCGGCAGGCGGCGGACCAGCTGAGTAACAAACTTTCGCACGCTCAGCACCTCGATGAGGTCACATGGACCACCAAGAACTGGCACGGGCTGCAGATGCAGCGCTTGTCTGTCGTTCTCCACACCGCCGTGGCGTGGCAGACGGTGAACGAGCTAGCGTGCGGGGACAGCGGCATTGTGCACGGTGCTAAGTGCATTGCCGTTCTTAACGGAGTCGCTTAGGCGGCTCCGGTGGTGTGCCGGTGATAGTACTAGCACGCGCCAGTTCGCACCTGTGTCGAGCCTCAGGTGGGCCGACCTCTCCATCGCGACCCCTCCCAGCTCCGTCTTGCACGCAGCGCGGAGTTGTTTTGTTTAAATTCTTCCGATATGCCGTCCTAAGTTTGCGCGGAAGTTTGCGGGCCCACGTCCCGCCCGAAATGGCGGAGGGTAGCTCGGCCGCGCTGTACGCGCAGCAGCTCGGCTCCTTCCTCACGCTGGTCGTCATCCAGTCCGTCGCGATGCTCCTCTTCAAGGTGTGCCAGGTCAACGGCCAGTACACCTTCTCTCCGGCGTCGAGCGTCGCTCTGACAGAGCTGTGCAAGCTCGGGATGGCCGCCACGCTGCACCAGCGCGAGCGCGCCTCATCGGGCCGGCCCTACTTCGAGGCGCTCAGCCCGAAGATCGTGCTGCACTACCTCGGCCTCGCGCTGCTCTACACGCTCAACAACACTCTCTCGTTCTGGGTGCTGGCGGTGGCGGATCCGGGAACCATGTCGCTGGGGAAGAGCGTCGCGCCCTACCTGTGCGCTCTGCTGCTCCGCCTCAGCGGGCAGGCCATGTCCGGGCTGCAGTGGGTGTGCATCGTCATCCAGTGCTGCGCCATTGCCATCGTGCAGTACGACGTGTGCAAGGGCGGCGGCGTGCTTCCGGCCAAGGCGGCGCTCCCCCGACGCCCGACCGCGCACGACCTGCCGCACCGCGCCGACCGCCCCTCCCCCGCCGGCGCTGTCAGGCGTACTACCTCCTCGCGCTCGCGGTGTCCATCACGGCCGTCACCTCCGTGCGCTTTTGCTCACCTCGGCCCCGCCGCCGCGCGCTCGGCCCGACGACCGCTCGCGGCTGCCCGCGGAGCCCGTGGCGGCCCGACCCCGGCAGCGCCGTCGGCCCGCAGGTGTGGAACCAGCTCATTATCAAGGGCTTCTCGGTGCCCGTCAACCTCCAAAACATGATCCTGTACACCTTCGGCTCCCTCATCGCCGTGGTTCTGTACGTGCAGTCCTGCTTCGACAAGAAGTGCGCTGCGCCCCCTCCCTCTCGTCCGCGGCCGCCGCGCGCCGCGCCTCAACTCGCCGCCGCCACCCCGCCGCCGCAGGCACCCCGAGACCAAGGGCTTCCTGGAAGGGTACACGCCGCTCGCGATCGCGCTCGTCATCTTCCAGGCCTTCCACGGGATCGCGGTCGCCTTTGTGTACAAGTACGCCGACGCCATCGTCAAGAACTTTGCGAACTCGTCCGTCATGGCCATCCTCGTCGTCGTCTCCGCCACCTTCTTCCAGCTCTCCACGAACGTGCACTCGTGGCTCGGCGTCGTCATCGTCATCACGACGACGTACTGCTACATGAACATCGCCCTCAAGATTGCGGCACCGCCCCCGCCCGCCGAGACGGAGCGGCTGCTCGAGGCGGGAGAGGCGAAGGAGGAGACCAGGAGCGTAGGCGACGAGAGCGAAATGGCCGGAAAGCCTTTAAAGGCAGCGGGCTGATTGGGGGGGGGGGGGTTCGGAACGGGCTCAGCGCGGAACCAAAGAAGCGAGCGCGCTGTGCTCACACACACACACACACACACACACACACACACACACACACACACACACACAGCGGGCTCAGCGCCTTGCAGGATGCAGCGCTCAGATAAGGCTGTCGATGTCCATCGCGAGTGTTGGAAGCGACTTTGGGACAGGGACACTGAGCGACGGCGCCGAATAGGGTTTGTGGAGCGTCCAGACATGTACAGAATGTGCAGAAGGTGTGGCTAGTGCCATTTCGCTGTGGCACAGCTCGCGTGACAAAACCTTGATTTTGACCATTGCGCGAAAAAGGTACATCTCGGTGCCTTAATG